TCAAGTGATACAGAAATGTGTCACATTACAATAACTGCATTAAGTTGATTATTAGCGTTGTTGCTCTGATGTAAATTAAAAAACTAACACTTCAGATTTACTTTGGGTTATTCCATCTCAAACCACCAGGGGTCGTCTGCTCGACCATCTCTGATTTGCTTATACGGATTTTTCTTATCAGAAACGATAGACATATAAAATGGTAAGCGTTCAATTTTACATTGAATTATCAAATAGTTTCCCAGATTTAAAAAATGCCCATTGACCCATTTTCAGCACATTTATGCTCACATCAAATCTGAAATATAAGTAAGTGTTTTGTTTTGTATTATTGTGAATTACAGCTACACATGGCTCAGAAATATCCCTAGTTGACTTCTGCATTATCAGAGTTTTGGGTAATACAGTGTGTGCTCAAAGATGCCTCTTTTAAAGGTGGCGCAAATTAATTTTTTTTTTACATTTTTCAGCTCACTCGTAATCAGAGAATCAATGACAGAATGAGAAATAACTGTGAAAATTTCAGGTATTTATGTTTCAGTCGTAGCAAAGCTTCAAATTTCAATATGCAGGAAAACATGTTGCAGGAACGTTGATTTTTTAAAACATTCTATGTTGGAAAGTACTCAATATATGAAGCTAAAATCTCAGTAATATTTAAGAATATCTAGATTTGTGGCTTTGAAACTTTCAGGCAAATTAGAGATTGTCGAGCAGAAATTCTTCTGAAAATGTAATGACTTTAGATGGAGTGATCCTACTGTAAGGACAACGATAAAGAGTGACCCATGAAGCTCCGGATCTCATGACAGATTCTTGGATGCTTGTCGAAAGTTTTAGATGGTGCCAAACTTTATAAAAATATATCATAACTTTGTCTCCTTACAGGTCATCTGAATCAAAGCAATGGATGTCCTCACACAGTTATTCAGCGTCCCTCGAGCAGCAGAAACACATCCTGTAATCCAGAGTATAATTGACAATGACCTCAAGAAGGTCAAGAAATTACTGAAAGACAAGAACCCCAATGAACTTTATCCCGGCGGACAATGGGGTTATATAACCCCACTGATTGCTGCAGTTGTAAATCACAACAGGGAGATTTGTACTTACCTTTTACATCAGGGTGTGGACCCAAACTGCCGATGCCAAAATCGATGGACACCTTTGNTTGTTTTCTATTTGAGAGTCACAGTGAGACGTGACAGAGTTCATGCTCTGATTGATGGTTTACATCTGAGCTCTTCTTACTGTATTGAAATGTGTCACATGAAATAAGCCTGTGAAGCTACTTTCAGAGATTCTACTTCGTGAGATTGGATTCTTTTACTTGGCTATTATCCTGACAGGGAACAATTAGAGTTTTTTTTTTTATACTGTGATGGAAATTGAGTGTAGCTTCTCATTTGCATCTTTTTATAACCTTCTGGCCTTTCAGTAACCTTTTGTATCCGTCATACCCTGTGGCCTCTCTGTAACTTTTTGCACTTGTGTCTCGACTTAACTGCAGACCTGTTGTACCGCCTTGTTTCAGTCTTGTTCTTCTTAGAAAAGGAGAACCGATGACTAAGACGCGTACTCGCTCTGAAAGTTTGTTTCATCCTGTTTTTGTCCCACTCCATAGTTCTTGCCAGTGTTATAATGAATGAATGAAAAATACTTTATTTATCCCAGAAGGGAAATTCAATTATAACAATTATAACAGAGTAACGGCCCGTTACGATGCTGCTTGACAAAATGATGCTGTGTCTTGGCTCGCTACACTGTCATTCAAGCTGCGTGTTCGGATATTTTGACATATTTTCTAGTAAAACGTGCAAATTTTCCTAAGAAACTCGTTTCCCTACCATCGTCTTCACTGCTACCGCTGTTCTTCGTTTGCATAGCGTTAGCGCTAACTTTGCTAAGTGTTGCTAAGACACCCACTCGCTACGCTGTCAAAGTCTTCTGGTGAGAACCCTGCACTCTGTATGACCTCTTCACGGAGAACAAAACTCACAAAGACACTCTGCTCTTTATGAGTTTGTTTCAGATTCCCATGTAGTAGAATTTCTATTACATTCTAAATCTATCTGATGGCTGAAGTTGCTAGTTAATTCACAAATTAATGATGAAACACAAAGCATATAATAAGAACAAACAATATGATGGACTGTTAGAGTTGAACTACTTAGTTATATAGTGTAGGTGGCAAAATTAGAATTCTTTTCACATCATTATTACCGAAAAAGATGCTGAAATTGTTGGTATTTAAAAAGGATTTCTTCTGATTTTCATTGTGTTTCGTTTTTGCTGTTGATGTGATTTTACTACTATAGTCACTTTAACAGTTGTACCATTTTGAATGTTTTAGTCTTTGTAAGGGGGTAAGCCATTGTTGTATTTTCCATAAAAGATGAACAATAAAATTAATCTTTACTTGCTTCTCTATATAAATGTGAGAAGTTGGTTGAGCTACAGGCCAGAGAGGTAACTTTAGGTCACTGCTGCTGCACATTCAGCTCCACGAAAGCAGCTGCTGTTTGGTTTGGTTGTGAGCTGATCTGGCAGTTACCAGGATGTACACATACAGGTCAGGGTTGGTGTCCTTCGTACAGCCAAGTACACTGAACAGAAATATAAATGCAGCGTGCAAGTGGTGTTCTTTATCAAGAGTGAAAAATCTTATTTGCATTATTTTGGCTTCAATTTCTCTAAAATGAGATCTTCCACTGCTGATAAATTCTTGACCATTGAGTTAATTCACACCTTTGTCAGGCTTTATAGGATAATGATCAGATATTGTGACCAGCACACAGGCACTCTTTTGGTCAGTGAATACAAAAGACCACCTTCAAATGCAACTTGGTTTAAATGATTTGATGCTGGGTTTGTGGCCTGCTGGATGCTAGCACTGGAATGTCTACAACTCCACCGTTTGATGTCTGTTAAATTATTTGAGGCAGCTCTGCATGTCTGACAGTGTGATCCTGTCTCTTAGAATGTCCGCCGGCTTCGTCAAGCCCTTTACAAAGAGCAGGTGAACGCTCCGCAGGCAAAACATTAACAACCCTGTTAACTTGTAGACATGATTACTGTATGAAGCCTGAAAGGCAAAACGCAGGGAAAAAATAGGAACAAAGCAGCGGAGATGTTGTTGTGCTGCTCCAATGAAATGGGAGGAGCAGGAAGAGGCAGAGAACAGGAAGAGACAGAGAGACGGAGCGAGTGAGAGAAACAGCATGTTGAGTTATGATGACTTAAAATTCCTGCTACAGCTTCAACACTGTAAGTGANATATTTGATCTCTTTTGGAAGCATCAACAAACTCCAACAATCTAGAAAGCAGTTGTCAGATACAATAAATGTCTCCGGTGCCATTAAACCTGCTTCATAACGTGGCTGTTCAGAGTGTCTTACTGTCATGGGAGGAGCAAAAAAAGACAAAGAAAGAGGAAGCAGAAGGAAAAAAAACTCGGTCAGTGACAGACTGGAGGAGTTCAGGCTACAACAGACACTCAGCTTCAACACTGTAAGTTATTTCCCTGCAATCCTTCACTAATTCATCTGTTATTTGACATGATCATGTAAATGTTTACTTAGAGCTCTCACTCTTGGATCCAAAAATTATTTGTGGACATGTCTCAGCCATAAACTTTGCGAGTTGAATCATGTGAACAGCGTCAACACAACCTTTACCTGAATGAGAAAGTTCTAGACTGAGGAAGTGACAGCAGTGACTGGTGTACTGGTGCATGTCATGTTGAAATGTAAACAAATATATTTATAGAAGAATATATAAATATATTCTTTAATTTCACACCAAGGCTGGATCAGTTATGTTTGTGACTAACTTGAATGACTAAGCCGGTTTTGAAGTCATATTTGTAATACATTGTCGTGATTATTTAATGTCCCAAGATTTTATCCTTTATTTAAAATTCAGGTGTTGCATCAAAGATTTCCCCCCAGTCAGTCGGTGTTTCCATTTTCATTCCCATTTTATCCCCTCTGCGACTGCACAGTTTGTAGTTGAGCAATTACTGACTGGTTGAGGTTTTGGGAGGGGTTACGTTAGGCTATGCTCTTGCATGTAAGGACATGAGCGCCAGCAATTGTGTAATCTTCTTAATAATGTGAATCACAGCCATGTGGTTTTACAGCAGACGATACTCAGAGCCCTGACTCTATCATATGTTGAGATAGAAATGGTTTCTGATTTAGGTTGTCACTGATTTGAATCTACTGAAATTGGTGATAAATTAGAATTTTATCTAGATTTCTAAGTACATGCAAAATTACCAATGAAAAGAAAATTAATACAGTGAACCACAAAGCGCTTGTTCAAATAATAGATTTCTGATGCCTGTCCAAAGTTAAAGAAAACAACTGATTCTATAACAATGTATCATAACTTTTTCTCCTNCAGGCGGTTCTGTGTTGGCAAGCAAAGAGCACATTTGGTAAAATGTCTTGGGTCAAAGGCCAACCCTGGAGGACATCTTCCTTCATTATTCTGTTTACTTTGTGAAAAGCACCAGATCCACTGGCAGCAAAACAGCCCCAGAGCATGATACTGCCACCACCATGCTTGATGGTAGGTCTGGTGTTGTTTGGGTGAAGGGCCTCATCTTCTGTCCACCAATTATATATCTGGTCATTGTGGCCTAATAGCTCAGGATTTGTTTAATCTGAGCAAAGAACTTTTCTCTAGAAGGCCATTTCTTTGTCCAAGAGTTCAACAGTAATCACAACACTCCAATTTGTACACTGATCAAGTAGTCTGATTTTAATCGGGTTAATATAAGAAATGACATCAACCAGTTTTTAACATGACTTAAATGGATAATTGTATACCACCAGTTGAAACAACAGACTTTCTGACATGATATTTGATCCTTTTGTTTGAGGTTTATGGGGTACTTTTGGGATGATTTGCTGTGCAAATTACAAAAATGAAATTAAAGTCAAAGCCTTGTGATCTTACTACTTTGTGATAAAACTTTCCTCTGTGTTCGCAGTCCTCAAGATGCAGCCCAAGTCGATCTAACTGCATTGTTTCCTGATCTCTTTGGATGCATTTACAAGTTTGCCAAGACCCAAAGATGGAATTCAGAGGCTCCATTGAAGAAAATGTTTCGAACAGAAGACACTGGAGCCATCTCTGAGTTTCCAGCCACAAACACTGAAGAGCATCTCAGTATCCAAGAATAAGAGTCTCAACCCAGTGACTTAAAGTGAAATTGAATTCAAAAAGGATGACAAATCTCAAAAACCACCGCAGAGTCTTACAAGCAGAGCAAACAAGAAAAATTCACATAGAAGTTATTCCATGTAATCATGGCAGCACATGGGTTATCAACACGTTTTCCTTTTTCTATTTGAGAGTCACAGTGAGACGAGACAGGGTTCATGCTCTGATTTATGGTTTACATCTGTGCTCTTCTTACTGTATTTAAATGTGTCATATGAAATAAGNATTATGTCTCAACGAGCAAGGCACCACTTTTTTTTGTGGAGAAACTGCTGGAAGCAAAAGCTAACCCAGATGGATGGATCCATCCTGTGGAACGACAGATATTCTCACCAGTGCAAAATGCTGCTCTTTGTGACCGTGACGATGTCATGAAACTGCTCATCTCTGCTGGTGCCTCGGTAACACTGTTACCTCCAACACATCTTGAATATCTTGTTCACAATAAAAAAATAGTTGAGATGGTTCATAGCTTGGCATCCAAAGGACACGAACTATGCTCCAAAATCAGATATTTTCTGGATATGGAATATGCTGTGATTGAAGAACAACCTGAAAACGTGTTCAGAACCTTTGACCAACACATGCTACTGGAAGATCCTCAGAGCCATTTGACCATAATTGAACTGCTGTTTACTGTTGCTGGAACACATGATGAAAAATACATAGAGGGAAGTATTAAATGGCTGAAGGAAACCAAAAATGTGACCACCTACATCTCAAGTGTAATCTGTCGCTTTCCAAACATCCCTGAGGAACATGTAACAACAGCTATCATTAGTTTACATGCAGTTTTCTGTACAATGGAAGACATCCCAAATGAGCAGTCACTGGCTATAATCCCCCACCTCCTGGAACAGCTTTGCTTAGAAAGGACACCTGATGTTTGGATAATTGTTCTGCAAACACTGTATGTGATAACACAGAAAACAAAAGGCACAAATGGCTGGGATTCCATCTTCTTGGAGAAGTTATGCAAAACAGTTGCTCCATTTGTAAATGACCAGCACTCCTCTGGCATCAGACTCTACACATATGGCATCTTTGCCAACTTGCTCTCAGTTGAACATGCGGCAAACATTTTTACATCAGTTGGGATAAATTCAGTGCCTGAAGCGATACTGACATCTGCAGATATAAAAATGGATGACAAGCTGAAAGAAGTTCTCAGACGTCTGAAAACTCATTTTAGCAAACCAATCCAGGAATGTGAGGACAATACAGCCTTACCCGAATCCAAGAAAAAGAACAAAAAGAAGAAGAAGAAGAAGAAGAAGAAGAAGGAAAAATCTGAAAAGCCAGAAGGCCAAAGTGATGCTGTTTCCACTGCTGCAACTGATCCAACAGTTTCTGATGTGGAATCACCTTCAGATGGGAAGTCATCCGACTTGAACACCACCAACCCATCAGGAACACAACCCTGGCTACCGCTTAGCAAGAGGTGGAAGGAAAAACTAGAGAAGCTTGTTGCCACCGATAAAAGTAAAGTAACCAGAATTAAGAGCCTGACTTATGTGAATGATCCCAAATTCCGCATCGCGAAGGGAAGTGATGGTACTGAAGTCTTCTTGGGCCTGAGAGATGACGGCACAGAAGTTGCAATCAAGAGAATGTCTAAAAGCAACTATCAAGTGCTGAAGAA